ATAACATAATTTTTTATACTTAGGTCACTTGTATAGTATATTTCATCACTCCGTAAAGTGACTATTTTCAACCCAAGCTCAAGTTTCACAACCGAGGTGGTCCATGCAAGGGTTAATAAGACACTTTTTGCCCTTGAGATGAACTATATTTTTTGTCACATTGTTACATTAAGCATTTGGTAATTGATTAAAATAATTGTGTATCTATTACAATAAATTGTGTGAGTGTAGCCTACATTATACCATAGATTAAGGGAGTAGACACTCCTTTAAAAGATCAACTCCTGTCAATCCATGATTATACTAACAATATAATATTAATCTATCCACTAATCTATCTATCTACTAACTATTGATAAGAATGCAAAAATAAACTGCAACCAATTAAATCACTCGATAAATAATTTTGATATATAAAATTGCTTATTATTGAAGTTTGCAACTAAGTTTACTACATTTGACTTTTACTCCCTAGGATGTATGGGGTTAAAATGTTTTGTACTCCCTAGGGACTAAATGATCTGCCTTAGATCTGCAATGATAATTAGACCAATTCATTAATTACAAGGAAAACCGTGGTTTGGATTCCACTTATCTGTTGGTCCCTTAGTTGCTATTGGCTGTATGGGCTATTATTAACAGTTGTGTCTAAGGAACATGTCGCCTTAGTCACTAACAAGACAACAAGATCGTGCCACTCACCCTACACTCATATTTGGGTTCAAATATGCATATAGTGGCGTCCCATCACAATCTTAAATAATTGATTGATTAAATTTAATTGCTACACATGGAGGCTTATAAAAAACTTGTTTTTGCTACAGTGTGACGAAAAAAATATTTTAATATCAGTGTTTAGGTTAAGTTTCTACTTACTCAAATTATTGTATTACAATTAAATTTGGGTAGTTCAAATAACTAGTCACATGGTAAGCAATAATTAATTGTAATAATTTTTATACTTAATAAAAATCATGTTTTGTAAAATGTTGTATTTGATTTCAGTGTAAACCCTATAAAAAGTTAAATTCTAAAAAACTTATTCACAATTTGTTAACGTACCTATTATTTTATTATACAAATCATTCCAAAAGTATTTGTTGAGACTATTAATTTTACCACATCCAATTACAGTGTTTTCAGAACAAAGTAGTCAATCAAGCCTTTGCTAAACACTGATGAAATGTAAATAGACTACTCTCAATGCATTGAAGGATGAAGCCCGAAGCTAAACAACAATCAAGGAAGGCTACAAGTTTAGATCTTTGTCCAGCATTGTTACTTGATTTAGCTCTATGATGTTCTGAGTTACTATTTGTCAACTATGGTTCCCTTAGATTAGATGACCGTGTTTGTGTTCCCTTAGATCAGATTGTTGTGTGTGTGTGAATTTGTTACAATAGCGTCATCAAAAGGAATGTACCTAGGTTTTGTTATAAGTACCATAGTTAAATCTACCGGAACCTTAAAGAATAATTTGGTAAAGGAGTAAACTAGTCAAAGAATTATTCTAAATATTTTATTTGATAAATCAAGAAAATGTTGACAACAATTTACTGTAGTGTTTCAGAGTTAAATTAAAATGTTTCTAGATGTAAAATAACATTTGAATAGAACTCTGTGTACTGCATCACGACGGTGTTTATAAATCATATAAGTACACAGTATAGCTGGGGTATTTTTAACATTAGGTATAATGGAAAGTTCCCTTTAGAAAGGAATTGTGACCTTAAAGGGCAGTTTGAAATAATGGATGGTTTTGCGCAAGGTTTCTCGTCATGAAAAACATTTTAACTTTAACGATATGGTTTATGGGGGTGTGACTTGTAGTTTTCTCAAGAGTTCATGGGTACTTTGGGATGGATTACAGTACTTGAGGATTAATTTAAATATTAAGTATATGACCTCTAGTCCCATTTAGTTTTTCTAATAACAAATGTTAAAAATAAACTACATACAGACATAATAAACTACAAACAAATCAATTAAGTTAACTTATTCTAATAAACAAACATTTAAATGCAATTACAGTACTTCAAAAGACCAAAAGGGAAAAAATTTATGTAACAGTATTGTTTGAAAATATTGTAAATCAATATTCTGACAAGAAATAAGCTTGTTCTGGAAACACAGATTGGAACATAAAAATAAAATGAACCTGCGGCATTGCAAGCGACACATACGTCCTAGCTCGCTCTCTTTATGTGTCAAAGAGATGGGTTTAGCAAATTGAATTCAACTGGGAAATGAGAACATAAATCCAAGCTGAAATAATATCAGATCGCAAGAGTGGGTTCACTCTGTCATGAATTATTGCAGCGAAATCCAGCCTCGTATGATGTTCTGCTATTGATGATTCTCTGTTGAATTTATTACAAAACACAAAACAGTATAAATGTGCCGGTATACAATATAACTAGTATACCTGTTGCTCGAAGTCAAGCAATTGCAAAGTATGAAATGCATTATTAAAACGAATAATTGTCTATGACTTGAAAAGAGTCCACTCAAAGATTATGGAAATACTCACGATGTACATAACAGTTTGATATAATCAACTTTTTTTTAAATATCTTATCATTATTCAAAAGCTGGTCTTGTTTTTCAGTGTTTTCTTCAAATATTTCCCTCTCATAGCGTATTAGGTTGTATAATGATGTGTAATTAATGATGTATAATAACGATACATTCTAAAAAAAACATTATTTCTATTTCTTCTACTTGGTGGTGTTCTATGATTTTTCTATGTTTTCATAGTTTGCAAATCAGCTCTTTCAATTATTGCTCAAGAAATGCAGCACAGTGTTAGTTCAGTTCTTTTTAGTATATCAAACTGTCCAGGCTTTCTTAGATGTTGTAGAGTTTACTAAAAAAAAGAAAATGTAATCTTTATGTAAAACTTTTCTTATACAGGGTGTCCCACGTAAGGTGTCTCAAATTGATTACGGAAAAACGGCACATTTTTTATATATTGAAAAAAACTGTACTTTTAGCATAACACAGTAAAGCTTATTTCATAACGAGTAAGAAAATTCAACCGGAGAAGGGCTAAGTGTTTATAGGAAGCACTGAGTACGGGATTAAAAATTATAGAATTTCCCCAAAAAAACTGCTGCCGTTTTGAAACGGAAAAAGATAATTAATATCTGTTTAGACCAAAATATTTGTCTATTGAATACCTTTAAAATTATGTATAACATGACATTTTACTTTTGAAAATTCCGAGATTTAAACTAATGACCCTCATTTTTTGGCACACCCTGTAAAGGGAAAAAGTTAAAAATAATTTTACTTTATTCCTTGGGGTTGATTTAGTGGAAAATAGTTTTATTTAATCCTTGTACGTTATGCCGTTTTTTCTTAATAAATTTGAGACACCTTACGTCACTTACGTGGGACACTCTGTATACAGGGTGTTTGGTAGTCAGTGTCAAATATTTTATGGCATTATTATGCACACAAATTGCTATAAAAATACACAATTTGGGTAGTTATATCTCACTCCTACTTCCGGCAACAGCCATTTTTAGAATTTTCTAAATTTCTTGACATTGCCTAATAAAATCTCATATTTCTCAACTTTTAACCTACATAATGATATTTCCAATGGCATTTTTAGAATCTTCATAAAGTTTTCTATCAAAACACCTATAATATGGTACAGCTAAACCCAATTAAAAGTTCTTAAAATTGACTCAAGTAACAAATTTTGAAAAATCTATAAAAAGGGTGCTACAACTCGCTTAAGAAAATTTTTTACCATGTCGTGTTAAAAACTGTCAAATAGTATAAACAACATCTCCACATTTTAACCTTTAAAATGATATGCAATATGTGACATGTTATGTCAGCCTAAGGGGAGAAATATAGCTTTAAATATAAAATTACTCATATTTTTCATTAACTGCAATCATTAATTACAAGAACGCATTTATTGAAAGTTTTGTGCAAAAGGTATCTGTATAATAAAGTTAACCCCAAGTAAACTTATAAAATCTAATATTTTATTACATATTTAATACTATAGTACATAGTCAAAGGGCATTAATATAGAGAATTTTATAAATGCACAAGTCAGAGGTAATTAAGATCTATATATTAATCATAATCATAATCATAATCATAATCTATATATTAATTTGAAACTGTTTTTCTTTGTCATAGCTATTATTATAGAACGGCTGGGTGTAGAAACTCGGTAGAGGTGCCTAAAGAATGGTCTTGGTCTGTAGATGAGCCATCAAAAGAGAAACATGGTAAATTTCCTCGGGGCTCTGCCCCAGTGGCCTTTAAATTCCCATCCCATGTTATTCTTATGGAGGAAAACGGGGTTTTTGTCATAGCTAATTTGAGAGACCGGCTGGGTGTATAAACTTGGTAGGGGTCTCTAAAGAAAGGTCTTGGTCTGTAGATGAGCCATCAAAAGAGGAACGAGGTAACATTATTTTAAAAATATAAGTTATTTTACAGAATAATTTTGAAATACAAGGTATTTTTTTTATATAATTGAATACAAGCAGAAACATGGAAAAGCTGCACCTTAACAGTTTTACTGACTACCAAACACCCTGTATATTAGAAATGAAATGTGTGTCTATAAATTGAATCAATTTTATAAGTACCAGTACTGTACCTATATATTTAAAAGTAAATGTTTACTGCAGCAAGAATATGTTTACCAGACCTATAATTATATAAGTGATAACTGTCTGGGTAGCCGAGTTGATGTGCTCGCTGTCAATTTTTATGGTTGCAAGTTGGATTTAGAGTTGAATCCATCTGACCTGACCCAATGTTTCACATTGTTTAGATTCAACCTTACATGTATATTATTTTATTTACTAAAACTACTCTGTTCAAATACCTTTTCCATTTTTTTGGTCTTTATTTGGTATTTCAAAAGGCCAAATCACTGGAACTATCATTATCAAAGTTACACTGATAGTTGATATCACCATGGACTTTGCTTTGATATCACTGACTTAAAGCAAACACTGCAGTTCTGAAAGTGTTCTCTATTGGTTTTGTTAAGTTTGATTTTAACTGCAGACTGCATATTATTTTATGGTGTGAGTTTATTCAACAAAAATATATTTTCCAGAGACACATAAAGTAAGTACCTAACTTAAGTTACGATACTATTTATAAACGTTATAAGTGATAAATTGACAAAAGTGCTTAAAAGAAATTTTGTTTTTTTGTCTGGTGTACTGTTTATTGAGGGGGAAAAATACTTACACAGCCTTTTGCATGCAGTGGTGTAGTCATAAAATCTCCAGGGAAAATTAGTGATAACATCAAGAAGTACAGATAATATTATTTTCGAAAATAACAGAAAGGGAATATACATATTTTTTGTCACATTATGCTTATAACATAATATTCAGAATTTTATTGTACAGTTCAAAAAAAATATCTGTACTTATACTTTTTCACTACAGTGTTTTTTAAGAGGGCACTAGTCAATTTTCTAGTATTGTGCTTAAGGCCCTCTAATTTAAGGTTAAACTTGAGGATTTGTTATGGACACAGCCAAACACTTTAACTAGACTATTAACCCAGTAACCTAACGCATTTTACCTTGCATTAAATGGGGTAGTACGTTTCTTTTTTTATGTTGTTTGTAATAGTACCGAATTTTTCCAAAAAATCCAAATTTTCGACCTCGGCGACCTTCCGGATCACCTCAAAAAAGCTTAAAAACCGGCGGAATTTCGCACTATTTTTACGATTGTCCGGTTTTGACCCTGAAGCATCACTTTTTCATACAGAACAACCACAACCATTTTTAAAGTACATTAAATTACCTATCATTTAAGACCAAAATGGTTATTACAGGCCTAATAGTTTTCAAGATATGACTCCGCAAACAACGGCTAAAATTACAAAGTTTTACATACAAAATTATAAAATCTTCCCTAAATGCTTGTATTTTAAGTTTAAAGCTATTAAATTTTGTCAAGGTTTATAAAAGAACCATAATAAGAAATAAACTAATTTTTCATCTCAAGAACAGATTGTGTTATAATTTTTCTTTAATAGAAATAAATCTATTGTATCTTTCTACATAAACACACACGTACATTGTTACAATAAATGGTTCTCGGGGATAGAACACAGGCCTGTGACGAACGGTATTTATTTAATTGTATCGCCGCGGGAGCAGGTTGGAGAACACTGAGGGCGACTGCGTCTGTGATTAGATGATACTTGTACCTTTGGACATGGACTTCTCCTGTAGGGGTATAAGTTGAAGATTGACTTGTATGACTAACTTGAGAAGTTTGGATGTGTGAACTATAATTTATAGTTTTCATTCAATTGAGACAAGGGTAATGGTGAAAATCCATGTGTAAAGAAGTGCTTTAATTCTTAATCCGACTGGTTCAGAACGCATAGCCTGTGAAACAGTTAGGGGGTCAATAGTCACCTTTATATTGCCAACAGTCACAGTATTAACATCAGAAGAAAGAGATACTATTTTATTCTTCCTTTTGTATCTGACTTATTCATATTTTTCTCATAAACGCTCAACATTGCTTCATTGCCAATATCTCTAGTCATATGACAGTTGACAGTTTCCTTCCAACAATTACACTGCTTAAGAACATCATAACATCAGTATTAGGGAGGGCGACGAAGTAACCAGTCACACAGCTTCTCTGTATTCGGTTCAACTCGCGTGACTCGTGAGGGTCTAATTTCCACATGCTGCTCAGTTGTATGTGCCTTATTATTGCAGTAAGCCTACTCCTCAACCTCAGCACTTATATTGTACAGGTAAATTATATCATTCCTACTGTCCATCGGGTGAGCACGGTGTCAGCTATACCACGGTCCCGAGTCAAACCTACATAGCTTTTCATAAGGCAAACGAGCACCTGCTCTAGTCAATATAGTCATGTCAGTCCAAACACCCGTCTAGAACTTTTCAAAACGCTCAACGAATGGCGAAGTTGGTGGTAAATATCTGGTGTTTAATGAAATCCATCTTGTTTCCTAATTTCAACATATCCTGCAGGTACAGATTTGAAAACTTGGCATAAAAGAAGTATTATGTACCATAGCAGAACGACAGCAAAGTTACAACTTGTTTTCACCGTTGCCTTTCATTCTTTATATAAATTCCTCTTGATATTATAACATTTTAGTTACAATAGATTTCTTCCATACAAAAAAAGAAAAAAACTTATAATATGTTGTTGAAATGAAATAAATTTGTTTATATTCTTATTATGGTTATTTTATAAAATTTTACCAAATTGAATACCGTAACTCAAATTGTAAAGTACAAACATTTATGGAAGATTTTATGAAACTTAAAGAGGCATATCTCTAAATGTGTTAGGCCTATAATCACCATTTTGGTATTGAATTGTGAGTAATTTAATGTAGTTTTAAAGTAATTATGGTTGTTTTAATGAAAAATAATGATAAAGTTATGCTTTAGGGTTAACGTTAGCCTAACTTAAAAAAATTTAAAACTTTTTAATTTTATCCGTTGTTTGCGGAAACATATCAAGAAAACTATTAGGCCTGTAATAGCCATTTTGGTCTTAAACGATAGGTAATTTAATGTACTTTAAAAATGATTATGGTTGTTCTGTATGAAAAAGTGATGCTTCAGGGTCAAAATCGGACAAACGTAAAAATAGTGCGAAATTCCGCCGGTTTTTAAGCTTTTTTGAGGTGATCCGGAAGGTCGCCGAGATCGAAAATTTGGATTTAGCATCTCGGTACTATTACAAACAACATAAAAAAGAAACCCACTACCCCATTTCATGCAAGGTAGACCCTGATTTTTATAACAAGGTTGGGTTATATTACCATTATTTTGAAACTAGGCTCTCCCTAAGATAGAACATATTTGTTCGTGTGTATTTGCCATGCTACCATAGTTTTAATTGTATGTTATTTTAGAATGGAGTCATCAGCAACAGAAAGCTTGAGGCTACCTTCTTTCATGCCACCAACAAACAACATACTGGTTATAAAAGACAAGCTTAACTTGGTGGTAGAACTTTTGGCTTTTTTGTTTGTAATCCTCCCCTATTACCTGTTGCTGACCGTTTATAGAAAACTATATCCACCACCTGAAAAATCTCTCCAAACAAAAAATGTTATCGTAAGTACTTACTTGATTTAGTATAGGAAATGAAGCTATTACCGTAGGTCTCATGATTGGTTGGGTGACCAAAGTGGTTATAATACTAGTAGTGCTCACCTAGCAATCAAAAGATCGCCGGTTCGATACTGAGAAGAGTAAGTAGCTTTTTTATGGTTTGAAACTGGACCCAGCTGTTCCTGGTCTTTAAATAAATGATCCTGGAGCTAATGAAACAGCTGATCTTAGACAGTATCAAAGTTACAAAGATCACTTACGCCATTCTACACTTACCCTTTACTTCACCCTTCACTCATATTTGGGTTAAGATATGCAACCCATCTCAAATGATTGATAGTTGATAAGATCTGGATCCGGACTTTTATTTTTTCGCTTTAATGTCCCCAGATGCCAACAAATTTCAATGATGAATTTCCCATGTGACAAATTTCATTAAAATCGGATTATTTTTACTTGAGCTATCATGCTAACAGACACACATATAGTAAATGAATATCAATTTGAATAGATGGTGTTTTTGCCTTCTTGGGATATAAAAACGGACAAAACCTGTAAATCGGTCCCGGGTTAGAGTCTTTTCCTGAGACCTACGGTAATAGATTATTATCTAAGGGAAATTTGCTTACACTTTAAATTTAAAATTGAATATAGAGAAAAAGGATAGACTCAAAATTGAGAATAAGTAAACATTTCTAGTTTATTGTGTTCAGATGTATTTTAAATTTTAACCAAATGTTCATACTGAAATAGAAATTTCACAAAAACAAAAAAACACATTATTAATTTCCTGTAGCAGGAAATATAAGCACTCATTAAATTTAATGTTATTTGAATAGGAAATAAATCTGACATTCTTAAAGGATACGGGTAGGCATATTTTAGTAGGAATCTAATCAGGCAAAAAGAAATTTGCTTAGTTCGCAGGTTTGCTATTTTTTTTGGTTAAGTATTCTTTATATTTGAGTTTTGTATTTGAAGTTTCAATCGGTTAGAGTTTGTAAGGAGACAAAACTTTGTGATTGACAGGTAACAGGGGCAGGCCATGGCCTTGGGAGGGGACTCGCCCTGAGGCTGGCACGGGAGGGAGCCAAGGTGGCAGTGGTCGACGTAGACGGCATCTCTGCAGCTCAGACTGCCAGGGATATTGTGGAAACTGGAGGAGTGGCCAGGGTAATTCTTTGTGGATTTTGGAACTTATAATCAGCAAGAAATTGTGTGTCGATTCCAGGTGAGTCGGTGGCTCATTTAACGGACTTCGGGCCCAAGGAAGCGATGTCGTTTCCTTAATTATATATGTGTCCGTGAACACGATAACTCGGGTAATTTTTGTCCGATTTTGATGAAATTTGGTTAAAAGGTGTAAGGCGAGATAAACTTGAATGAGTTCACGAACCAGCATGATCGTACTATAGGAACGGGATTTTACGGGGGGTTTTATGGGTTAAAAATGTGTTTTTTCTCATTTTTGACCCTCAAAACACAAAATTTCCCAATTTCTCTTTAGACCTTTAAAGAGCTTAAAAAACAAATAATTTAGTATATCAAAGTGTTTCTGGTAACGGAGAAAATTTAAAGAATTGTAAATTTAACATCTCCATGTTATTCTTATGGAGAATATTGTAAAATGTTGTATAATAGTTTGCTTGTTAATGGTTATATTTTGATAAAACTTGGCAAATTTATTTATTTTATACTAACCTATCAATATTTTACTAAAATACACTCTTATTTAGTTTCTTTGTAGCAGCGAACCTAGGTACTCGTTAAACCTTGTGTTATTCAAATAGATTTAATAGAAAATCAATTAAGACAAATTTAAATTCACTTAGTCGGCAGGTTTCCTGTGGCGGTGGTATTTTTTCTTTTTCCTAGGTTAAAGATCTTTTCCACACTATTCTGTTTTCATTGACTTTCCACCCATGGATTTAGTCCAGAAAACAGCTGTTTGCCTCATGCTTGATAAATAGGATTTTATTACTTACATTACTGTACAGTAACGATTGAACACCAGCTGATAATTAATTATTGTTGCTTATTAAACACCCCAGAGGCCTATTACTTATATTTTGTAAACACAAGTCATAATCAACGTGACAACATTTACATTAAACATTAAACTAATTACATAAAATAACAAATAATTGTATACTAGGCAGACTAGTATTCTAAATTTCTAAATGGCAGTGAGTGATGCTCCTAATGAAAACATAACCTCTCTCAGAGAAGTTGTGATTGTCAAGTCCTTAGGTTGTTCAGCATTTATTATATTTTTATTGCTAGTTTAGATTAGTGGCAGAAAATTTCACATGTCACTCTCCAAAATTTATTTACCGTACACGTATGGTAATCCCATAAGACAAAGTCACCTATTTTCAGACTAGTAACGTCTGAGATACTATTACTACTTTAATATTATTTGAACTATTAATAACACTTTTAGTTTGGATACCGTAGCTTTTGAAAGTTTTGCTGGTGTATTAATCAATAACTTTGGCATTTCTTCAAACTAAATAATTATTTTTATATCACAATACTCAGCACATTTAACTAGGATAAATAATGAAAATAATAGATAACTTTACTATTAACACTTTTTCAGAGAGTATTTGGACAACCCAATTAGTGTTCATTGCTAAAATATGCTTAACTTACAAGTCAAAGGACTTGTTTTTATAAACAATTTGTCCATTGTCCATGTCTAATCGTGAATTTTACTGTTAAAGACTTGATTTTTCAGTTGAATTTTTTAGTTAGTATTACCATACAAATTAATCAATTTAAAATTTGATTCAACTCAATAATACAAACACAAATAGCCTAGGTTACTTTAAAAAAAGCCATTCTATTTGTTTCAGTCATATGTTACTAATGTAGCAAAAATAGAGGAGATTCGCAAGCTGCATGTGAATGTTGTCAGAGATCTCGGACCTGTGGACTTACTGATCAACAATGCAGGTCTTCTTTACACAGCAAGTATTAAGGACTCGTCAGAAGCTGAGATTAGGACTGTCATGGATGTTAACCTACTCAGCCACTTTTGGGTGAGCTCAACTTTCTTTTTGTTTATCACTATTTGATATCATAGAATCACAGAATGTACATAATCTAGACAGAATTGTAAGTTATGTGTTGTATCTTAATCTTGGCGCTCGTCTATGCACTGTTTTTTTGTTTTATGACAATAAATGATCTCAAATCTTTGTACAGAGATGCTATACATTTTTATTTTTTAATGCTGCCACTATAAAGTATTTTTTCAAAAGGAATTAATCTACGATTGAAAGGGGATTGTTGTGATAGCATAATTTTGAAAATTTAACTTTTTATAGATTGCTCAAGAATATCTTACAGAAATGAAAAGTCGCAATTCAGGCCATATTGTTGCCATCAGTTCTATGGCAGCCATTGCATCGGTTGCAAATGGTTCTGCTTACTCTGCAAGCAAATGGGGTGTCTGCGGTGAGTGCCATTAAATGGATTATTCTCAACAATGTTTTTGTATTTATAAATCCCAATGCAGTAACAATCTTTGGGTTGCTTAGTCAATTATACATGTTAGAATTGTATGTGAAATATTTGGTTTTACATTTACGAGTATTTGCAGGTCCTTGAAAAGTTTCTTTAATGTTGAACTACACAAACTATGATCACTCATACAGTAAAGCATGTTGGCTTATGTTGATGAGTGTTAAATTAATGGGATTGCTATATAAAGTTAAATTCTACTATTTAACTTTTGAATTTTCTAGAACTAGAGTAAAACGTTACGACAAAGAGATAATCGTAATAGTGCCAACATAATGATTCATTATGATATGTAAAAATGGAAAAGTAAATTGGTCCCGGGTTTAGATCTTTCGGTGCCGCCTACGGTAACAGCTTCTCCCCAGTGAAGTAATATTGTTAGGGAGGTCAAATTCTGGAATCCATTAATCGAGAAACCAAAATTATATTAGGGTTTAAATGACTGCTGTAAATGAGTATATCTATAATAAGTTCTCTGTTATAAAAATACAAACTCTTTTTAACCGCTATAGGGATAGCAATAAACAGCTACAAAGCAATGAACTTTGTAGTTGTTCAGTTTCATCCAATGAATATTTTTTTTGGCAGACTTAAAGCAATCAGAAGGTATGGAAAACCACATAATACAACAATAATTCTTGTGACATTGTGCTGCTATTTTCTATGGTAAAAGTAATTAATTTAGAACATGTGAGCTTTTCAAGTATTACCGTAAGCTACAAATCCAACAATAAAATGTATCTTGAACATTTCAATTTGATTATTTTCAGGGTTTATGGAGGTTTTGAGAGCTGAACTGAACCAAAATCAAAAAAACAATGTAAAAACTACAACAATATTGCCATACTTCATCAATACTAGTGAGCAATATGTCAACAGATGGGATATCAGGTATAACCAATCCTACACAGTAATCAGATAAGATTAGATTTTTTTCAATTTTCAAAGATTGTTAAAATTAGTGTTAATAATGTGCACTGCTGATACCAATTATGTTACTAAGAAAAGCTGTTTATGATAATAGCAAAAAAAACTATGTAAAATGTTCAACTAAAGATCACATTCCAAGAAAATTTTCCAATTCAGGGAATATTGAGCGCAAATTGTGCCTATATATAAATAAACAACCCCTTCATCTGTACTATATGTATGGTAAATTAAAGTTTCAAACTGTCCTAATGAACATACCATAGATGAATAATATTTCTAATCGTCTAGAACTAATTAAAATAACCAGTTCATTTTAACACAGGTTGCCACCCCTGTCTATAGATGAAGTAGTGGAGGAGATCGTCACAGCAGTGAAGAGGGAGGAGGTCTTGCTGTCCATCCCCAGACACATGTATTACACCTCTCTAATCAAGTAAGAACTGCTGTAGCTTAATCCTTAATTTGGCATACCATTAACTTGTTATGATTATTTGTTTATATTATACGTAACTTTATATTTATATTATTAGCTACAATTTTATAATCAGCATGGATGAATGAATTAAGTGTTTTATTGCATAAAAAACAGTCATCTCAGAAAAAATAAAATAAATAACTGTGACAACGTACTTCTGAAACAAAATAAAACAATTCACAGCTTCTGGACATATTATTGAAAGACAACCTTTATGTTTTAGGAAAGTAAATTTCATGATTAGTATCGCAGTATTTATTGTTGCATTAATACTATTAACAATTTTGCGTAAAGAACTTGTCACCCTTAGCTACAGTAAACAAGAATGACAGACTCGCAAGAAGTGCCTAAACAACTACAGTCAAAAGATGGTTTGTTAAATTCTTAATGATATTTCTTTTTCTTTGTACCAATTGCTCAAAATGTACTACTTACAAACACTCAATAGTTTTCTTTTTTCGTTATTTATGTTCTATTTCCGATTATTTCAGTCCATTCCTCTCCAATTATTAAACTTAAGTTACACAAATTATGGTATTTTAATTCTTTTTAAGATTTGTATATAATTCTCCTTTCATTAAAATAAAAACAATGATTACGTTTTCCTCATACTGCAGCAAAAACAGTTTAACGGATTGTAGTTAATTGTTGCCTTATTAAATAGTTTTGAAAAAAAATGATAGTATAATGTACACAAACAAAATTGTAATAGACAAAACAATAATTTAACTCTTTTATGAATTAGCTTCTAGTTTCCATTAGCAAATTAAATTGAAAACAAGCTATATGAAAAGTATTTCAGTTTGGTAACATTTTTTTCAAATAATGGTAAAATATGACAAAAAATATAATTCATCACACTGGCAAAAAGTGTCTATAACAAAAGAGTCACTACAAGTCCTAGTGATGAAATATACTATTAATAATTGATGTCACCATATTATAAACTTATGAAAAAATCTTCTTACCTATGTTAAAAATTGTAGAACAAAATAGATCGTTGGAGTTATTGGCAAAACCTGATTCTGAGTAAATTACTTTTCCCACCTGCTTCTACACGTAGGCTCAGTATATCAGTTAATTACTGAAACAGCCACTCTTTCACTACATTATATGTAATAAAATACCCCCGCCGCAGCAAACATGCCGACTAAGCGAATTTCCATTTGTCTGAATTGATTTTCAGTCAAATATATTTTAATAACATTAGGTTTAACGATTACCTAGGTTTGCTGCTACAAGGAAACTAATAAAGTGTGTTTTTGAGTAAAATATTGATAGCTTAGTACAAAATAAATAAATTTGCCAAGTTTGATCAAAATATATCCATAATTAAGCAAACTACAACATTTAACAATATTCTCCATAAGAATAACATGGGAATTTTAAATTTTCTCCGTTACTAATAACTGAACAAAAATACTTTTATATACTAAATTATTTGTTTTTTTAAGCTCTTTAAAAAGGTCTAAAGAGAAATTGGGAAATTTTGTGTTTTGAGGGTCAAAAGTGAGAAAAACCAATTTTTACCCCATAAAACCCCCCGTAAAGCCCCATTCCCATGGTCCGATCATGCTGGTTCGCGAACTCATTCAAGTTTATCCCGCTTTACACCTTTAAACCAAATTTCATCAAAATCGGACAAAAATTACTCAAGTTATCGCGTTCACGGACGTATATATATATATCTATATAAATATATATATATATATATATATACATATATATATATATATACATATATAAAAATTTGAACGAATGGTGTTTTTGGCCTCTGGGGACATCAAAATGAAAAAGTAAATCGGTCCCGGGTCTAGGTCTTACCGTGCCACCTACGGTAATAGCTACTTCCCTATAGGGAAATTCGCTAAAAGATGAATTAGTATTGGTATCATACTCAGGTAAAATGAATCACACAATTAATAGTATTATAAATAATTTTAAATTTGATTTTAAATAGTAAGGTATATATAACATTTCTATTAGAATTAGCAATAAATTTACATAAAATTCAATATACCAGTGCAATAAAAAATATCACAGTTCTTGATATTCACAGTATTTAATGAGTTTATTTATTTTACACAATTATATTTCCTGGAACATGTACCAATAGGTAAAATGTTTTTGTCATACTGCAGCAAAAACAGCCTTTTTTAATGCATGCTTAGTGGGTCATAAGTAGCATTTTTACTCTCTAGGGAGTAAAAAGTGTTTTAGCCCCTAGGGAGTAAAAATCAGCTGTTGTCAACTCAGTAAATAATCGCATGTATTGAAAGTAAGTAACGATTGTTTAATCGATTTGTAGCTTATTGTTGCCTTATTGCAAATAATTCGACATATTAATAGTACAATGTACACTAACACAATCGTAAGAGACGAAACGATTGAATTACTTACTAAAAAGCTGCTAGTTTCCATTAGCAAAATAAATTGAAAACAAGTTTAAAAGTAGTTTGGAGACGTTATCTTTGAATGAAAACTATTTAGGTTTTTGTAACATAGTTTGTTCAAATAATGTTGCAATTTGACAAAAAATATAGTTCATCACACTGGAAAAATGTGTTGTTTCAACCTCACTCTTTTTCCGACCTAGGCTTCGCCTCAATTGTAAACCTTAGCTCGGGTCGAAAAGAGTCACTGTATAGTTATGAAATATACCATTAGTTTAATTTGTGTTTTTTCTGTTTGTAGATTACTCCCAGTTGATATAGGAGATTATTTCTTTTCTATCTTATATTGCAAACTCAAACCACCGTCTGAAGAGGAAAAACTAACTGATCGTACACATAACTTAATTTCTGAGCAAATAACAAACTAGCAATTAAAAGAGTAACATTGTTGAAAAGTGTAATAATTTGATTAGTTCAATCTGGACGTATAAAGGTTGTTTTTTAGTGCTACTTTAAATTAAAATGTTGTAAAGAGGAAATATCAGTATTAAGATAATTATACATAACTTAAATAAACTGGTATATTGTCTGTTTGTTGGGTTTTTCAATATTTTAATTACCCTCTCTCTCTCTTTCAACAAATGTCAGAGTTGATATAATTTAAATTGTGTATTTTACAACTAAACACTGCAAAAATGTAGTGGTTATTTTGTTTTAACTGTTGATTTTTAATCATTTGAACAGTATATAGCTAAAAAATTTCAAACATTTTATTATTTACCAACTAAATAGATAATATATTTTTTTATTGCAATGGTAATATTTTTCGTCATACTGCAGAAAACAGCAGTTTTTAATGCATGCGTTCATGCGGGTCTAAAGTAGCATTTTTACTCTATATGGAGTAAAAATCAGCTGTGGTCAACTCAGTTGTAGATTTCGATTGTAAACAATCGCTCGTTTGAAAGTGTGTAGCCTATCGATTGTTTAATAATTGATTGTAGCTTATTCTTGCCTTACTGTAAATAGTTCAACATATCGATAGTACAATGTACACTAACACAATCGTAATAGACGAAACGATTGAATCACTTTACTAAAGAGCTGCTTATTTCCAATAGCAAAATAAATTGAATACAAGTTAGAAGACATTTTGAGAGGTCATTTAAATGAAAACTATTTTAGTTTAGTTTGTTCAAATAATAGTGGAATATGGTGAAAAATATAGTTCATCACACGGGTAAAAATTGGTTTTTCAACCCTCGCTCATTTTTTGACCTCAGCTTCTCCTCGATCTTAAATCTTGATTTGGGGTAGAAAAGAGTCACTTTAGGCCCTAGTGATGAATCTTCTACTGTACTTACAATTATGAAAATATTTTATAAAACGTTTTTGTACGTTTCTGTACGTTTTTGTACTGTAACTAAATTGATTCCAATGGTAATGCTCAATTCCATTTTATAAATCAGACACATAATTATGTATTTGGGGGAAATGCTGTAATAAAGATGAATAAAAATGAAAGCTATAATTTGTTTATCCTTATAAGTACAATATCTGATAGGGATATACATCTCAAAGGATATTGTAAAGTACCCATCTCAAGAGATCACATAGTTCAAGTACGAGATGTAAAGTCAGCAGAGCTACAAAGCGTTGATGGAGTGGTGCAGTGGTGTATTCTAGTGAAGGCTGTTACAATGTAAATGTGTGCTAATATCATTCACCTCACTGCCTGGGCTTTATACCTATTAACCTTAGTTGTTCTCTGTACTACTGTACTGTAGGTCTGTATTCAACTATTGTACAAGACGGTAACTGATTGTAATAAAAATTTGAGGAGTTTTTTGATGAATTAATGAAATAGATTAGTCTTTCAGACGATACTACATGTTAGTTCTCTCTTTGCTTCAATGAACTTGAGTAAACAGAAAAATGTACTGTAAAAATGGCATTATACAATTATTATTGTTATGTGGCATTCCAAACTTGTGTGTGTTGGCCATATGAAAAGTTTTATTGTTTATTTGCTGCAGTAGTTTGTTAAATAAGTTCGAGTGTGTTTTAATGTGTACCTACTGTATATTAAATGATTAAATATATTTACTTTCGCACCTTAATGTAAAGTAACCTAATCAAACATTTTTTATTGCTCTAAATTTATTAAGTGTAATGATTATTTAGTAATGATTAATTTAAAAATAGAACTCTTCATTTCAAGAATAAATTTAACTGTACAAAGACAAATTGTGGTTTATGTTAAGATTTGTTCCTGGCGATGAGAAAATTGCAAATTGTTCTGCTTTGTTATTGTGTTTTATTATAAAACTCTAGTCTATTAAACGCTTGGAACTGTTCCAAAATGATAGAAAATGTGTATTTTACAATTATTTAAGAAATAACTAGCCTATTAAATAGACTTTTTCATTTTTGTTACAGTTGTAGATACAATGTATGTAATAATAATGATTATGATGATCCTACCTTTTGTATATGTACTAGAGGTACATACAATTTTGTTTAATAGAAAGTCGTTGTATAATACTGAAATCACATGGAGAAATAAGCGGTCAGTCTAGACTAAGTTGCAGGAGCTATCACCACACATAAAAAACTCTTTAGTACTCTAAGATCATTTAAATCTATATAAGTAATATAGTTAGTTTAGTTGTAATTATTCAACTATTCAATTTTAAATTTACACAGAATTATTTACAACAAATCCAGTCAAATTGCCTCTTAGCAGAACTTATCTATTATGTGACATAAGATGAGAATGTTCCAACTTTGAAAACCTTTCACTTGAAACCGTATTTCGGATGCAAATCGCCAACGCTCCCGCCAATTCCGTCTTTCCCGCTCAATTTATGCCCTCATTTTTCACTCAGTGTAATGAAATTGGTGCCATTCCGCCTGATCCTATCTGTTTATTCTCTCTGCCCAACATAAAAGGTTAATCTGCAAAACGACAGAAGGTGGATTTATTTAGAGGCATTCACTATCAGAATGCCTTTTCCAACTTTTCAGACGTACTGTGACTTTCAGATGACTTGGTTTGCATGCAAATGAGTTTTCTTGGATTGTTTATTTTCTTAAACAGTTTATTTACCTTATTTCCTCCAAATTTATTTCACCAACTTAGGCTATCTAATTAGGTTTCAAATACTTCAAAACATGTTAATACTCTATCATTATTTTTAATTATATACCAATCAATGTATTAGTGTTTACAGTTTTACAACAGTGATAAATTGACGTTATAACTTAAATCAATCATACTAGTTAACCTTGATATTTTTCAGTCCTAACTTCACGTTGATGGTGATGGATATTTTTGTTTCATTTTATTGTTTCTTGAAATTAAGTCAAACTTATTTTAAGTCACATTATGTGATCTTCAGAAGCAACAATGTCAGTTCTGTTGTACATACACTATTTACGTGGTACAATTGAACCATAAAATCACTATGTTGTCAACCATAAAATGGTTCTTATTTAATCAAGAGTAAAATGTAAAAAAATATATATATACCGGTAATTATATTTTCATACTATTAATGACCCCTCTACATTGCCTACAACTTTGATCAATTTTGCATTATATCATGTTAATTTCTTTAACACATCAACCAACAAAGACACACTCACTTATAAAAAAGGGGCAAACTCTGTGCTTTTCGAAGGCATATAAAATTTTGGTTCATAAAAATATATGAATTTTATTTTTTATTTATTTGTTATTATTAGTAGGCTAGAATTTGAAGTTTAAATACAGGTAGGCTTAATGATCTCTACATAATATATTAAACCTAGGGCATGGTTGGCGGAGCCCTAAAATGAGAGTCGAAAGGGTTAATAAACAAAGTTAAACTTCACCACAATAAGTATGTTTCTGCTAACCCTATCTCACCATCTCACTTTTACATATTAGAATATAGGTGAGCTATGAGTGAAATTCTTCTGTAGTGACATTTCCTGTCCGGATCTTCTACAGAGTTTTGGTGCTGCTTGGTTTGGGTTCCATACCAAAAAGTTTATGTGCCCAGTCAACTACTAGGGTTGGAAGAAGTCTGTGAAAATATCACACAGAATAATAGTACCACACAATGTAATCAAGATATTGGAAATCCATTAAAAACAGATGTTGACCAAAAGAGTCTGCTTGAGCCAAACTCCATATCAACTGTCAGTTATTTCATTATAATTTTATTTGGACTAAACTCAAATTCTATATTAATCAAGACTAGTGTAGGCCTACCTGTTGCTCGAATTCGAGCAATTGCGAAGTATTACAGTCGTTATTTTAAAACGAATGACAGACATAATTTCCGATGACTTTAAAAGAGTCGACTCAAATATTATGGAAATACTCACAATGTAGGCCTACATAACAGATCGATATAATCAACAATTATTGTAAATATATCTTATCATTTTTCAAAAGCTATTTTAGTTTATCAAATTGTCTAGGCTTTCTCACTTTTTTCCATTGTAATATCTACGCCAACCCAAATTCAAATAGTAAATATTTCTTTTTAACCAAGTCAGAAAATGTTTGTAACAAATTCCAAATTGCAACTAAATTATTAAATTATTAACAGCAATTACATTATTCAGCTTATCATAATGTAATATTATATTTCGTACCTAGGGCCAAAAATGAGGTTTTGCCGGCTCGAGATAGTTTTTAAGTTCGAGACGAAGTCGAGAACTTAAATCGATCGAGAGCTGCAAAATCATTTCGGTCCGTGGTACGAATGCTATTTTTCACCACATATACCCTATTATGTTACCACTATTCACCACTTTAATAATGCACACTGATAGTCAACACAACTTCAACTTTGAGGTTATGTGAAGAAATAATTTGAGGAATCAGCAAAAATATAAATAAATATTTGCTAGGCAACGGTGACAATAAAACAATTCTATTGCAATGCTATGGATACTGATTGTGTATTTAATATGCATTCGTGTCTTAAAAGTAAGCGGGCAGCTGATTTTGCGGCCCTAGGGATGTAAAAACCTGCTCGGTCAACAAATAACGATGACAGCTGGCATGGCCAGCAAAACGTAACTTTCAGCCACCAATTAACGTATGTAAAACCGCTAAAAACATCATAGTGTGGTGAAAACAACTATGTTATTCATAAGTATAACATAGGAACTTTAAAAGCCACTGGGGTAGAGCCAAAGGGACATTTTCAAAAATATAAGGTCAGTTTGCAAATCTACACAACTAGTCGAACAATTTGGTATATAATATGTGGGGTTAAATCTTAAAACTAAAAAGCCTTATTGTTCACAAAGTTTCTTGTAGCGTATTAATAATATATAGAATAGATAGATAGATAATGTGGATATTTTATGAAAAATGTTCATATAAATGATTTAATGTGATGTGGATAAATCCTTCTTCCTCAAATCCGAAAGAACATCTGTAAAAGAAGGTCAGTAAAACTTGTTCATTATATCTAACTTACAAATTATAAATCTGTTTAAAATTTGTAGTAGATTTTCATACCTTTTAATGTATATAAGTAATAATAATTTAATGTATATTCATAATATGTAATTTAAATGGCTAACAAATAGCTGTTTACTCTGAACAGAAATGTCACCACAGTCACTTGTGAGGTTTACAATACAAATACTTACTTGGCCAAGATACACATCCAGTATATCTGCTCAGGTATGTTGACATATACTAGGTTTCTTCTCACTCCAGAGACGACGTAGGCAGCAACCACCTCTGGCAACCTAGTACCTAACCTCTGTCTGGAACATATCATTTGTATAATGAATTATATGAAAACAGATTTGAAAAGTCTTCTTTAGGGTATGAGCCATCAGTTGAGGAGGGTTGTGTAACCATTAGATAAAACCATAGATAAAAACATACTCCCTTAGTCTATGCCATGCTGACCGAGGAACAAGAAACAAGATTTATTTCCAGTAGGCCTAAACATATTTTACTATATATTTGAGAAGACAACATTTTGCTTACAGAACAGTTAAGTCGAATGGGAAATGATTTTACAATTTACATTGAAATATAAAAAAAAAACATTTCAAACTAATAACTTATACCACAGTTTGAAAAGTTAACAAAAGCAACAATTAGAAAGTAAAAAAATGTAATATATCATAGGCCTATTCTACTACAATTCCACTACAAGTACACAACAATGTAGTACACAATGAAGTACACTACAATGTACTACAATGCTTTGAAGAGGCAAAAAGAAGGGTAGTAAAAGATTCATGATAAAATATATTTTTCCTACAGTTACCTAACAATGTACATGTTCTCTCACTGATTTGAGAAAGCAAAGTGGCCAATTCGCTCATCAGTGAGACAATGTTAACATTGTCTCACTCTAATTACTTTGTCTCACTCCAGATTTGCAACGTGAAGGCACGAAATAGTGAGCGCGTAACATGCAGGCAACGTCATATGCGCGCAAAATACGTTGGCAGCACTGGCCAGCTAAAATAAATCACTGAGCTATAATAATATAACTGGAGTAACCACTCTGTGTTTTAAAAACGTACCACTGTTTTTGATGTTTTTGTTTTAGAGCTTCGTGTTGTTAGGTTGGCCAGGTGATCGGTTGGTGGGATTTGTCAAATTAGAGGAAAAATCAAGATGGCGTCATCCTATTGTCTATTGTCTTGTTGATAGCAAACAAAAATATGTCAACATTATGATTGCAATATAAGTTTAATTATTTATTATACGTGCAAGATAAACCCGTTTTAACAAGATCATAAGCCGATGGTCGTTCTTTATCAAATGCCATAGGTAAACCTGCCACAATAAACCCAAGACTAAACCAATATCTCCAAACCAGGAAACTTGACTAGCCTATTTTCACCACATAGCTTGAAAAGAGGTAAATAAGTTAGTAGCCTTTTTATTTATCATCAAAAACAATTTATAATGTTTCAAAATAACTTTAAATGCACAGGTTTTAACGTGCAATGTCTTAAATAAGTTTTTTAAGTCCTTGAAATAACGGATAGGCCTAACCTTAAATGAATAGTATGGTTAGGTTAGAATTAATTGGAATTTGTCTTTGACAGCATCCCACCAACCGATCACACGGCCAACCTAACAACACGAAACAACGAAAACAAACCAGCAAAAACAGTGGCACGTTTTTCTCTAATGTTTAACCAGAGAGTAGTGACTCCAGTTATAATCTATATCTCAATGAAATAAATCAGCTGGTCAGCTGTTGTACTGTTGTATTTGTCACTTCACGTTAAATGTTATTATTAAAAGTTCACTTCTGTGTAAAAATAGGTTATGTTTCTTCACCAATTTATTTGTTTTATGGTAACTGTAGGAAAAGTATAATGTGCAACTCGAGTTCAAAGTACAATTGCCTCACTCGAGAAACCATTCCTCACTCGCCTACGGCTCGTGAGTAAGGATATCTCTCGAGTGAGTCAATTGCTCACTTTTCTCACTAGTTGCACAAATAACTATTTAATAAACAAACTATCAAACATAATCAAATCTATTTTAGCTTATAACTACGTAATGCAGTGTTTAAAGAATAGATCAACTAGATTAGTAATGTTCTTTATAAGTAGATGGATGAATAATAATTTTACTCTTTAAATGTAAACTTAAGATTATATGATTAGCTATAGACACTGCAAGTAGACTTCTTGTCTGAAATCATAAGTCTGTTTGATATTTCAAATGAAGTAGGCTAATGATATGGTAGCTCAAAGATATTGATGTTGAGTAGATTTTTTTACCAAAACTATGAATAATTACTTACATTGCATTTAGGGAGTAGTTTTTTGATAGTGAAGTATCCATAACAGCTGCATTCACTAATGTGAATTGTATGTTATCATGCCCTTCCAAGAGAACTTCCGTTTTCACACTTTCCATAAAACCTGGAATAATATTTAAATTATACTACAAGAAATGTCATTATTTGATAGTTTCACTGAGACAGATATCAAACACGTAAGTTCAAACCACAATTATATTCAAGAGATTAGTATGCTTGACAAAACTTCCATTGGTTTTTAATTATAAGTACCTACTACTGCTCATTATTTTTACAGGTTCTCGATTTTACTGATAAAAGAAAATATTTATAAAAATATTATCATTTCTTGGTACAACAAATATTTAACCTTTTTATTTGTAGAAAATATAGATACAGAGATGTTTATGAAAAAAAATATCCCTTCAAGTTTAGATATTCTTAATTAATTTCTAATTAAGTACCGTTATAACATTCCAAGATCTATTCAAACCTGTTATTGAACTGACTTTAGAAAGTTCAAAACAAAATAAGGCATTTTTTGTCAAATAAAACACCTGCTACGCAACAGCATGCAAAAACTGAGGGGTTAATAGAAAACTGCAAAGATTGCCAATGCAAATACATTGGACAAACTAAACTGGTTGTGAGTTTGAAAGAGGTTATAAAAAACACCAGCCAGTTTTGAAAAATAACAAACAAAAGTTTGCTTTTGGCCAGCATCTTGTCGACAGTGGTCATTCTATGAGTGACAACCATGGGCCTAGAAGTACATTTTTGTAGGAAAGATATCAAACTGGATACACTTGAGGAGTATGAAATCTACAAAATGATTTAAGAATAGCAAACGGATCATATCCTCAACAAAAAGCTAAAAGATTGCCCTGTGCAGCCGCACCTTTCGCACATGCCTAAGGCCGGCTCTGCAAACCAATATCTGTGTGATGATATCTGTATTGGGGTGTCCCGCTGTACTGACCATTGACAGCCCAGCAGGTACCAGAGTATACAGCAGCCCCCGCCAAGCCAGCCTGCCCTGCTAGTGATGTCACTGATACTATATGACCCGCACCTCGCTGCTTCATGCGGGGCAGGAACTCTCTCACCATCTGCAAACATGTCATGTGGTTGTAACAACAACTATACCTAAATTGATGGTTAATTCAACCTGGAAGGCAAAATAATATGGAGGATTGAAACGAGTTTGTCCAGCATGATCTGACCATGGGAAAAAGTCTTTGTTGGGATTTTCTTGTGGTAAAAATTAGTTTCCTCATTTTTTGACCATCAAAACATAAAATTACTAAATTTCTCTAAATCTTTATGAAGAGCTTAAAAAAAACGAATAATTTAGTAGCATACATTGAAGTGTTTTGGCACTTTCAAGGAGATACTGTATTTCAAAAACTTGTACATTTAAAACTCCTATGATATTTTAATGGAGAATAAGTAAATTGTTAAAGTTTGCTTGTGCTAGTTGGATGTTTACTCACCCAGACATGGCTGAGAAAGTTGTCTTCGACCAATGTCCTGGCAGTTGAGTCCAAAGTGTCCTCCACAGCTTGTGAGACGAAGGACGTGTGGTAGACAACAAGGATGTCCAAAAGACCAAGGTCCCTAGCAACCGCCTCACTCAGCTTGGCAACCTGCTCTGGGCTCCTCACATCCGTATGGTATGCCTTGGGGGCCCAATTTATTTTACTCTCAATTCTTATGGAAATGGTTGAACTCAATTTGTTCAGCTACCATAACGGCAGATCCCCGTACACTAGGCATTCACCAAGCACAAAATATTTTACTTTGTGAGCTACTATTTGTATCCACGACGTGGAAAAGACCGACAACGACACAGAGCGGAAAACGACAAGCAATGTTCACTGAATGCCGAGTAGACTTTTGGTGAGTAAATTTACTGTTAAGCGCTTGGCAACTGCCGCATATGCGGATCAGCCAAAAGAAAATATCGTTCTTCAAATAGTTTGTTATAGATTTATAGCTTTGTTTGTTTCTGATTTATTTAGGGCGTACTATTACTATATTTCTGGCGTTCTAGTTTCTACCAAAACCATATTACCTGAAACTGACACTAATCACGATCAGTAATCACTTTCACTGATCAGATTACCGTTTAGTAAACTATATAAAATTATGTCAACAAACAGCAAGTTAGCTGTTCAACTCAGAAATTGTATGATCTTTGGACTGAATCGCTATGTATGCAAAATAAATCTGAACATGACTTACCTTAGCCCTCTCACCGTCTCTGACAATCTCCTCAGCTGTTTCCAACGCCGCTCTCTTGTCAGCGTCCACACAGGCCACCGAGGCTCCGTGGTGGGCAAACCCGAGGGCCAACTCTCTGCCCAGGCCACTACCAGCACTAGTCACCTCAACAGATCAACAATGGCGAATGTCAAAACAAATAGGACTGGTAAGTCAAGGTCACTTTCAATATAACCAGTTCTATTTGAGTTGATAATAAACCAATCGCATTAAGACTTATGTTCATACTCTTAATGCCATCAATAGGTCCTGAAACTCTGATAGGACAGTTTTGTCTCGAATGAAATATTAAAAGCTTTTTTGAAGTAACTGTGTGCATATTTGGATTATTTTGTACCTAAAATATTGAAATTCTGTGTATTCTGCTGTATTCTGCTATCAACGACAATAGTATTATTTGTATTTCGTTCGTGTCTACCAGTTAAAGTCCCTCGGCTTCCTCCTATTGGCCGTCCTGGTCAACGTCTTATAGTCCCCATTATGTCGAAAGTTTTTTTTTTTTGTTATGTTTTAATTTTGTGCAAAATCTTTGTATAACCATCTGTTTCAAATATTAGTGTCAATTTGAAAGTATTCATCTGTTCAAGTATAAACAAACATTTTCTCCCTAAGAATAACATGGGAACTTTGAAGGCCCTGATGGAATTCCAAAGTTTTTTTGTTTGATGACAAAATTACATGCTAAGACCTTTCTAACGACACCTTGGACATGGTGATCGGTAGCACCACCACTCCAAAACAATTATGACAAAAATATGCCTAGCGTATTAAATATATAGATGCTAGCATCCAATTTTGAATTAAATTTTGTTTATGTGATTATTTGGTTAAGTTTACTAACTTAATTTGATTCATTTTAAAATTTGGTCAGAAGCAGTATACCACCGTTAAGTTAAATTTAATGTTAAACTAGGATGCTTGAAGCTCAGGTCCCATAGTATTATAGTGTGTCACCATTGTCAATATAACCTATAAGCCAGAGTTAAGATTCTGCCCATGTATGGATGATATATGAATAATTAATATGCAACTAAATTGTCAAGAAAATGTAGTAAGGCTTACTTTTGGCTCTACTCCTTCCCCTCAAAAGCCAATATTCAATAAAATAATAAAATAAACAAATTATAAAAATGTGTATTTCTAAATTTATAGTAGTATTACTAGTGGAAATCAATTAATAGTTTTTCACTTACCAATACGACTAATCCATCAAGCCGTTTGCTTTTAGGTGGAAAAATCTTCCGTACAAATGCACTTAAAATGTTTGGCACTAGCAAAACTATAAAATACACAAGTTCTAACAGTACAAATAAAATACTTCTTTTACTAGAAGAATGTTCTGTTACTATCCTTGGTTCTGCCATGATTTGTAATATTCAATTGAATGTAACAATTGAGTAATGAAATAAAATTCGTAACAGTATTACAGTATTTGTCCAAGTCGAGAGCTGTTTTTACACATCATCATACACCATTCTTTTGACTAACAAAATATTCCTAAACACAAAATTCCAATAATCACTGATGTTTCGTAAAGAACTTATTGAGCCTATTGTTTTAGCACAAACTTTTTGTATCTTCCACTGCACAAACAAGTATCTAAAATTTTGTCAGACACGGTTATAACCTAAAATGTACACATACAATGTGATAATTGCTACATTAAACTTTGAGCTCCAATACCTCCGCTTGTGTGTTCAGGTTGTACTATCAGTTGTATTTTATTTCCCTTTACTGATAATGACGGTTTCTCATACTGCCAACACTATCTAGTCTTATGAAATCTAGCTGTTCAACACTTTAACATTGGGCATTTAGGTAAGATGAAGGAAAGAAAAATAGTAAGAAATAATTCAACCAGATTGTTATATTATTTTTTTTCATAAAGATTACTTTTCACGCTGATGCATAAAACTACCCAAGGACTAACACATCAACTAGAATTAATTACTGGAGGTACTTAACTATACAATTGTGAAGAGTAAAAAATCAATCTTATAATGATTAGATGACATTTACATTTGGATTTTACAGCCAATGCAACTGTATTACTAGTAGGTTCCTAACAGCATTTAAGCTTTAAAAAAAAAAAACATGGCATACTTGGATTGATTTTACGTTTTAGAGTATTAAGAATGACCCATCAAGTATGCGAACTATCATTACAATCATACCAAAATGAATTGTTTTATACTACATCATATAATCAGTTTTGCCTGTATACATAGTACCTGTATACTGTATACTGTTTCAGGCATGCATACTACTTCTACAATAACGTCACTCAAAAGGAAGAATTTGGTATTAAAACTTATAAGCATTAATTAAATTTTGTCAGATTATTTTTTCATGTCTCGTAAATTCACTTTCGTTTCGCTTTGGCTATTTCAACGTCTTTTTTCCATTATTTGAACTGTAACTTGCATTACTACTATGGTCATACTAATTTATCTATAAACATTAACTAATTTAAGTAAAAACTATTCCAAATTTGTTTTTAAGGTGTGCACAAGAATAACTAAAACATTTATTATTTAATTTTATTAACCCTTTTTACAATGTAAAAATGTAAATTTTGTGTCACTTGTTAGTATTACAATACTAAACTACAACAATATCAATTAGTTTATTATTATTGTTAAATATGTATGTGTGATGTTTTTTTTTTTTTTACATTGATTCTTCCCTCCAGTCACTTAGACTGATTTAAAGTGTCTTGATTTTACAACCTTATTCAAAGAAAAATTGTAATACGTTTGAATTTTTAATTTCATTTCACTATTTTAAATTTTAAAATTAAAATTTTGATTTGGTTGTTTGAGTAACTAAAAACTATGACATAAATTTGTACAATACTATTAAATCTAAAACATTATCCAAAGTGAATATACACTATTCTACCACTTGCTTATAACAAGTCTTCATGATTTTGGCACCGGAATTGTGTGATTTTACAGGAATTAAAAGTAATATACAGTATCATATTGAACAGAATATAACTACTGACTAATCAATATTCTTATGTACAGCACCCAAATTTAGGTATAATATCCTTTGCTAATGTTCACACATGAACGTTAGTTTTAAAATCAAAATCATCCATTTAAAAGGATTTTTTATCAAAGGTCAGGCTAAGATTCCTTGAATAAACAAAACAACTCAAACAGTAGGCTAATACTGTTGGATGAAATATCTCATTCTCTCCTTTCTGCATCATCATTAGTGTGTAAACCACAGTAGGCCTACTGGTAATGTATCCTAGTAGATTACTTGACATATTGTAGTTATTTAGAGGATAGTTGAGATATTATATGTTGTGTAGGTTCTTTCTTCCTTCTTTCTTCTGGCGGGATTGCTACCCTGAAGTAGAATATTTCTTTAAACTTGTCAATAATATATTGTGGAAATAGTCTGAAATCATATAACAATATTCATTGAATAATTTGTAAGATATATTGAAGCGGTAATTTTGGTTTGCATTAGGCCTAACAGTTGTTATAATAATTCAGTAAAATAATCAATACTTGTTTAAGTCATCACTAGCCAGTATATTTATTCGGTAAGAGAATAATATAGAGTATTTTCAATAAAATATGATTCTCATTATTTTAAATAGGGTCTTAAACCCTATTAACATAACTAGACACGTAAGAAGAACATTAAAAATAATCTTATTACAATCAGATTATAATATATATGAATCAAAATCCATTTTTCTATTATGGAGCAACAGTATCTGCAAGACCGTTGTTGGCACCATAGTTAAGTTTTGATTTCACAATTGATTAGTATTATAGCTTGTTATGCTGTACAAGTATATAGAATATCTGAAGCAGTGCACATTTAAATTGAAAGTTAAGACTCATTGTCAACTATACATTCAAAAGAATTTATTCCCTAAATGTTAATAAAGTACTCTTGTTCAACACAACAACTTACTGAAATAGGTGAACTGAAAAGTACATGTCCCGAGGAATGGTAAAAACAACTTCTTCTCTTTTTATACCCTCAACTGTGGCCTCTACTGCCTCTTCTATAGACACAGGTGGAATCCTGAAAATTACAAAGATAAATAATTATTGACCGTGTTCATACGAGTGATTAATATGATATTTAATAATTAATAATTATGTAATTAATTATTATATTATATAACTAAATATAAAATCAAATAATAAATTTGACCAATTTAATATTTGATTTTGTATTTATTACATTGGACTACCCAACAATTGTTAAAACATATAGTGTTTAATGCTGATTTCGTTTTTTTCCATTTTGATTACCACCAAGAGATTTCTTTTGAGGTTTTTTTTTATATATTTTAATTTCTTTACTTGTATACCTAATTTTAAATTTGACCTACTGTGTCATTTATCACTATGTACTGTATATAAAAACATACTTATCTTTTAAATTTTTGATGTAAAAACATAATTAAAATTTAATATCCAAATCAAAGTTTGATCCAATTTCAAAGATCAGGCATGTAACATGGGGTATCCAATTATTTGTTTACCTTTCCTATGTATATGAAAATCTGAATATTATTAAAGGTTATAAAACAATTCCATTAACAAAATGTATTTATTGGCTTTGTTCATTTTTGCTTTTTAAAACAGCAGTAAAAATGGATTTTACAATATTACAATGAAATTGGCTGTATATTATTTTGGGATTTTTAGTCTATTGTACTGTCTGTTCTAATTTCTAATAAAATGGTGTGAGTTGTATTAAATTTTACATTTTAATTTACAAAATTAATATTTATTAATGACTTTTGGTAATCTAATTGAAAATCCAATTAATAGTTAATTGTACGTTGGATATGAGGGGGGCCTTAAACAGCATATTGTTGATAATTTGCACACTAGATTTAAGAGAAACAACAACAAATAAAACAACCAATATCTGTTCCCTTTAACTTAATCATTACGTAAAAGTAATAAATAGTCAAGAGTTCAATTAAAATTTTCTCACCTCAAATCAAAAAATTCCACATAAGAGGCACTGGTGTTTATAAAGTACGGCAGAACAGTAGTAACCTTAATATCGTTGTTACTTTGAGAGTTGAGTTCTGCCCGAAGAGACTCCATGAAACCTAACACAGAACAAATATCAGTATATAAGTTACTACTGTGTTAACAAGAATAAACTGATAATTGAGTTACTCATAAAATTTAAAATACAAACAAGAACAGTGAAGTACTGTTTGACAGGTAAGCAGGTTGAGCAGATACAGCTCAAGAATAAATGTTACCAATCAAGCAAGTGGAGACAAGCATGTAAACCATAAAATCACTGTGATAATCCCACATCCTATAGTCTATTGATCTACCAACTTGCCAAATAAAAGTGAATAAAACATTTATGACTTTGATGCAGTCCTGGTATTATAATAGTTGCATCTTGCAGGTTTTACTGTAGTATCCCGTAGAAAGTGCTTTAAATTATTCCAACTCTCACCCCTTATGTCATTACCCCTCTGTTCCTTGGTCTATTTATCATTTTACCTTGCCTTACTTTTTCTCATTTTATTCAGTTTCATCTCAATTGTTAACTTTTCTTTAAACTGTATTTTATTCGCATAACAAACATTGATACTTAGAGCCCAGATATTGTATATCAGTCCTTCCTCTGAAATTAATACCCTACCTTTAACTCCACTTTTGCAACAAGAGTAGGCTGCAGCGTTGGCCGGAGCACTCAGGGCAGAGAGTGAGCAGATTGCCACAATATGACCAGAGTTGCGATCCTTCATGGAGGGTAGGAACTCCTTCGCCATCTGTACAACAGTCATACATTACTCAGGGCAGAGAGTGAGCAGATAGCCACAATATGACCAGAGTTGCGATCCTTCATGGAGGGTAGGAACTCCTTCGCCATCTGTACAACAGTCATACATTACTCAGGGCAGAGAGTGAGCAGACAGCAACAATGTGACCACAGTTGCGATCCATCATGGAGGATAGGAACTCCTTCGCCATCTGTACAACAGTCATACATTACTCAGGGCAGAGAGTGAGCAGATAGCCACAATATGACCAGAATAGCGATCCTTCAAATAGGATAGGAGCTCCTTCGTCATCTGTACAACAGTCATACATTACTCAGGGTTGAGAGTGAGCAGATAGCCACAATATGACCAGAGTTGCGATCCTTCATGGAGGGTTGGAACTCCTTCGCCATCTGTACAACAGTCATACATTACTCAGGGCAGAGAGTGAGCAGATAGCCACAATATGACCAGAGTTGCGATCCTTCATGGAGGGTAGGAACTCCTTCGCCATCTGTACAACAGTCATACATTACTCAGGGCAGAGAGTGAGCAGATAGCCACAATATGACCAGAATAGCGATCCTTCAAATAGGATAGGAGCTCCTTCGCCATCTGTACAACAGTCATACATTACTCAGGGCAGAGAGTGAGCAGACAGCAACAATGTGACCACAGTTGCGATCCTTCATGGAGGGTAGGAACTCCTTCGCCATCTGTACAACAGTCATACATTACTCAGGGCAGAGAGTGAGCAGACAGCAACAATGTGACCAGAGTTGCGATCCATCATGGAGGGTAGGAACTCCTTCGCCATCTGTACAACAGTCATACATTACTCAGGGCAGAGAGTGAGCAGATAGCAACAATGTGACCAGAGTTGCGATCCTTCATGGAGAGTAGGAACTCCTTCGCCATCTGTACAACAGTCATACATTACTCAGGGCAGAGAGTGAGCAGACAGCAACAATGTGACCAGAGTTGCGATCCTTCATGGAGGGTAGGAACTCCTTCGCCATCTGTACAACAGTCATACATTACTCAGGGCAGAGAGTGAGCAGACAGTAACAATGTGACCACAGTTGCGATCCATCATGGAGGATAGGAACTCCTTCGCCATCTGTACAACAGTCATACATTACTCAGGGCAGAGAGTCAGCAGATAGCCACAATGTGACCAGAGTTGCGATCCTTCATGGAGGGTAGGAACTCCCTCACCAACTGTACAACAGTCATACATTACTCAGGGCAGAGAGTGAGCAGACAGCAACAATGTGACCACAGTTGCGATCCATCATGGAGGATAGGAACTCCTTCGCCATCTGTACAACAGTCATACATTACTCAGGGCAGAAAGTGAGCAGACAGCAACAATGTGACCAGAATAGCGATCCTTCATGGAGGGTAGGAACTCCCTCACCAACTGTACAACAGTCATACATTACTCAGGGCAGAGAGTGAGCAGACAGCAACAATGTGACCAGAGTTGCGATCCATCATGGAGGGTAGGAACTCCTTCGCCATCTGTACAACAGTCATACATTACTCAGGGTAGAGAGTGAGCAGATAGCAACAATGTGACCAGAGTTGCGATCCTTCATGGAGAGTAGGAACTCCTTCGCCATCTGTACAACAGTCATACATTACTCAGGGCAGAGAGTGAGCAGACAGCAACAATGTGACCAGAGTTGCGATCCTTCATGGAGGGTAGGAACTCCTTCGCCATCTGTACAACAGTCATACATTACTCAGGGCAGAGAGTGAGCAGACAGTAACAATGTGACCACAGTTGCGATCCATCATGGAGGATAGGAACTCCTTCGCCATCTGTACAACAGTCATACATTACTCAGGGCAGAGAGTGAGCAGATAGCCACAATGTGACCAGAGTTGCGATCCTTCATGGAGGGTAGGAACTCCCTCACCAACTGTACAACAGTCATACATTACTCAGGGCAGAGAGTGAGCAGACAGCAACAATGTGACCACAGTTGCGATCCATCATGGAGGATAGGAACTCCTTCGCCATCTGTACAACAGTCATACATTACTCAGGGCAGAAAGTGAGCAGACAGCAACAATGTGACCAGAATAGCGATCCTTCATGGAGGGTAGGAACTCCCTCACCAACTGTACAACAGTCATACATTACTCAGGGCAGAGAGTGAGCAGACAGCAACAATGTGACCAGAATAGCGATCCTTCAAATAGGATAGGAACTCCTTCGCCATCTGTACAACAGTCATACATTACTCAGGGCAGAGAGTGAGCAGATAGCCACAATATGACCAGAATAGCGATCCTTCAAATAGGATAGGAGCTCCTTCGTCATCTGTACAACAGTCATACATTACTCAGGGCAGAGAGTGGGCAGACAGCAACAATGTGACCAGAGTTGCGATCCATCATGGAGGGTAGGAACTCCTTCGCCATCTGTACAACAGTCATACATTACTCAGGGCAGAGAGTGAGCAGATAGCAACAATGTGACCAGAGTTGCGATCCTTCATGGAGAGTAGGAACTCCTTCGCCATCTGTACAACAGTCATACATTACTCAGGGCAGAGAGTGAGCAGACAGCAACAATGTGACCAGAGTTGCGATCCTTCATGGAGGGTAGGAACTCCTTCGCCATCTGTACAACAGTCATACATTACTCAGGGCAGAGAGTGAGCAGACAGTAACAATGTGACCACAGTTGCGATCCATCATGGAGGATAGGAACTCCTTCGCCATCTGTACAACAGTCATACATTACTCAGGGCAGAGAGTGAGCAGATAGCCACAATGTGACCAGAGTTGCGATCCTTCATGGAGGGTAGGAACTCCCTCACCAACTGTACAACAGTCATACATTACTCAGGGCAGAGAGTGAGCAGACAGCAACAATGTGACCAGAATAGCGATCCTTCAAATAGGATATGAACTCCTTCGCCATCTGTACAACAGTCATACATTACTCAGGGCAGAGAGTGAGCAGATAGCCACAATATGACCAGAATAGCGATCCTTCAAATAGGATAGGAGCTCCTTCGTCATCTGTACAACAGTCATACATTACTCAGGGCAGAGAGTGGGCAAATAGCCACAAAATGACCAAAGTTGCGATCCTTCATGGAGGGTAGGAACTCCTTCGCCATCTGTACAACAGTTCATTACTCAGGGCATCACTACATTACTCAAGGCAGAGAGTGAGTAGATAGTCACAATAAGTATATTTTCAACTAAAAAAGTTGGTTCTATGATATGCAAAAGTATTAAAAAGTTATAAGATTTACCAACAGGGTGCAGCATTATTATTTTTTGCATTTATGAAATCGCCTAATTTGAACTTAGCAGCAACAAAAAACTGTGATACGCAATGAGAACTGTCAAAGTAGAATTGTTTACAGTTATGTTCATGTTTTTAATTGCATGACAAATTTGTGATATTTTGCGAATTATTAATAGTTTATTTTCCTATATTGTTTAAGTGAAGTGGTAGAACATAATGGCTATAATAGATACAGTAAATTTAAAGAAGCAAATTTTATCAAAATGTGCCCTCCCCCATTGCAAAAGCTAAGTTGGAGTATAACTGCAATAAGCATTTTACACTTATATGCCAGCCCCGTACGAAGGACGGTACTCCGCTGTTATAATAATATTTAAATACCTCCATTGAAGACTGAACCTATGTGACGGAAATACCCTTTTCTAAATTATGATGGAGATATAAAAACAAAGCTCACACAAAGATGAAACTGAAGCAGATGCTGGACTCAATGGATTCTAATGTCATTTCAGTCCCCACAGAAGAAAGTAATTCATGTTGTCCCAATAAACACTACGATAGGCCTTATAGTACAGGTAAAATAATACAAAAACACTCCATATAAACAACAAAATTTGTACATTCATGAAATTTCACCCGTGAGTTACTAATAATATGAGAAATGAAGATCCGATGAGTCCCCAAAATTTTGTGCGTCCTAAGGCCCTTTTTGGGGCCCTTTTTGATCCGAAGGGCCCTCGTTCCTGAATAATTTTGTTTTTACGTTTAAGGTCGAGTGAGGTGTGGTTTTCGATGGTTTTAGTTATTTTAAATCGATTAGGACTAGTTTTAAGCGTATTAAACCACTCCATACAGGGTGTTTCGAAATATTATTAATTTTTACGATATTTAAACATTTATTCATAAAGTAATCAAATTAGTTACCTCCATGCTCTATATAAAAGGGGATTATTGAAAATAATTGTAACTACGTAAGGGGAAAGGATCACAAGGAGTAAGAGAAAATATTAAATACCCCCGTCACAGCAAACCTGCAGACTAAGCGAATTTTCTTTGCCCGATTTTCAATTAACTAAATAACTAATAGCATTGAGTTTAATGAATACTTAGGTTTGTGGCTACGAGGAGGCTAATAAAGTGTATTTATAGCAAAATATTAATAGCCTAGTATAAAACAAATAAATTTGAAAAGTTGTATTAAGATATATATATATATATTAACAAATAAACAAAATCATTTTACACTATTCTCCTTAAAAATATCATGGAATTTTAAATTTAAAATTTTTGAATTTTATTCGTAACTAATACACTTACAAAACACGTTAATATACTAAATTATTTGTTTTCTTTAAGCTCTTTAAATGCTCTAGAGAAAAATTGGGAAACTTTGTGTTTTGAGGGTCAAAGATTACAAATTTATACCACATAAAACCCTGTTCCATGGACCGATTATGCAGGTTTCGTTAAAATTGAACCAAAATTACTCGAGTTATCATGTTTACGTATGTAACATGGATATATTATATTATATATATGTATATAAACACATTTATAATATTTTGAGTTATCTAGCAACCCTCTAAACAACAGTCCTCTAAGGGTGCTTTAGGCTTCTGGGGGCATCGAAATGAAAACGTAAATCGGTTTCGAGTCTATGTTTTACCATAAGACCTTCGTCATATGGTAAATAAGCTATTACTATTTCCTATATGGGAAGTTTGCTAAAAGGGGATGGATTAAGTTTTACACTATAACATAATAACATAGGTTACTACGCAAAAATTTCAACTTTTAAGGTGGTGTGAATAATCTTTCAATGTGTTTTCCATTCAAATCAATTAAGACCAATTTCAAATTGATATGTATTTTTCTGAGGTAGTTATTTAAGTTTTTTTTACATTTATTAAAAATCAAAACAATTGTTTTTGTATAAAACCTTACATTACATATTAAAATTAAGTACTTAAACTAAAGCTATTTTTCAACAATTTCCGTAGTATCTCTCTTTACAATTCCATCATCACAATAATTATTCTCAGACAACTCATTAACAATTTTATTATTCTTAGCAACTTGTCCATCTTTACTGATTTTGTCCATGTTGGTGTTCAAGCAGGATTCCCCTTTACAAACCTTGTATATTGCAGAACAGGCAACACCAATCTTAAAGCACGAACAATGTGGTGCAAAAACACCTTTCATACATACTGACGTTTGCAACTTGTACCTTAATTTCCTCAAAATTATTTTCAATCAATACAAGTACGGTTGTCTTTCGTGGTTATGACGACCAGGACAGCACTAAGACATCAGAGCAGCATTGTTGGTACAAGCATTTTTGTTCTGAACAATGGGAACGAGGTTTATGGGGTAAAAATTGGGTTTTCTGATTTACTTCACCCTCAAAACACAAAGTTTCCCAATTTTTCTCTAGAACATTTTAAATAGCTTAAAAACAAATAATTTAGTATATTAACGTGTTTTTGTATGGTTATTAGTTACGGATAAAAATACTAAATTTGTAAATTTAAAATTCCCATGTGTTCTTATGTAGAATAGTGTAAAATGATTTTGTTTGTTTGTTAATAGATCTTGATCAAACTTGTAAATTTTTTTGTTTTATACTAGGCTATTCATATTTTACTATAAACACACTTTATTAGCCTCCTTGTAGCATCAAACCTAGGTAATCGTTAAACACAATGCTATTTTAGATTTAATTGAAAATCTAGTAGGTAAAACGGAAATTTGCTAGGTCTGCAGGTTTGCTGTGACGAGGGTATTTAATATTTTCTCTTACTCATTGTGATCCTTTCCCCTTACGTGGTAAAGAATTACAATTATTTTCAATAATCCCCCTTTATATAGAGCATGGAGGTAACTAATTTTATTACTTTATGAATAAATGTTTAAATATCGTAAAAAGTAATAATATTTCGAAACACCCTGTATGGGGTGGTTTAATACACTTAAAACTAGTCCCAATCGATTTAAAATAACTAAAACCATCGAAAACCACACCTCACTCGACCTTAAACGTAAAAAGAAAATTATTCAGGATCAAGGGCCCTTCGGATCAAAAAGGGCCCCAAAAAGGGCCTTAGGACGCCCCATTTCATGAATGTACAAATTTTGTTGTTTAAAAAACCCTATTTTACCTGTACTATTATGTGTAAAGTGTGATTGTTGCAATAAACATCAGCTGTTTTGTAATGTGTGCTGTGAGATTGATAATAGAAATATTTTAAAATTTTGAATGCAGGCTTTACTATTCTTAGAAGACCAACTTGTGCAAAGTACTCAAAACTTTCTACATTTAGGACCCTTTTCTGAAGCCAATGAATGGTTATTGTCCTCACCCAGAAGTGGCTGAGCAGGTTGACTTCTACCACTGCGCGGAGGTCCGTGTCCGGCATGTCAGTCACAGTGTTGCCGTACATCAATCCTGCGTTGTTGACCAAGATGTCCACCGGGCCCAGGTCCTCCGTCACCTCCCGCCTCAGTCTTTGGATGTCCTCTACCTTGGCTACGTTAGCAACGTACGCCTACAACCAGATCATGTTGTAGTGTAGTAATATGTATTAGATTGAGTAATAGTGTTTTAATTGTTTGTATTGTCTAATAATTGTAATTCAAAGTGTTGGTCGATTGTAAGGAAGTAAAATTTTGAACTAAATACAACACTCAAAAATTGACCTTGTTGTTATCACTTGTTGAATACCGTACTTCATTTCAGATTAAAAACTTGCTGGCTTTAGTTTTCTGTAACATTTTCCAATAATCCAACTCACTTGATATGCAAAGAAAAAGCGATATCATGACATATTGTTCGTTCAGTCACTCTTAAATCCAAAAGCCAATATGAATTGAGTTTAACTTAATAATCGAAATAAATGGTAAAAAGTCTCCTAACCCTAGCTATCCCGCCATTCTCCTGTATGTCACTAGCTGTCTCCTGGGCGGACTGAGGAAACACATCCACCACTGCTACCTTGGCCCCTTCCTTGGCGAACCTCATGGCAAGTCCCTCGCCGAGCCCTCGCCCTGCCCCTGTCACCTAGAAAAGGTATGTACATCATGTAGGTACCGATCTACCGAGTCAAGTGTTCCTGTTTTGCCAATGTGCCTAATTAATTAATTTGTTGATCTTTTATATTATGATATAACCCTATACCATACCGTATTGTATAAATTAAATATTTAACAGTACCGGTTTTTTTTTAATATCATGTAGGCCTACATGTAAGATTGGGTATTCTTGGTACTATAATTAGTTAAATTATTTGATTATGGATAACATTGACTATAGTATTAAGTTTTTGCTCAAACTACCATCGTGACATTGAACACATTTCTGTTGATTCATGTAGAGTTGAATTCAACATGAGTTAAATTACAATTTGCTGTGAACGGGTGAAGATGTATTACTACAACGCATCCGAACGTCGGCCACTATTCTCGCCAATTCAATGAAGCGGGTACCTCCCGACCATGATTCGTCAGTCCATACTGTACTGCACTTGGACCTTGGAAGCCTACAATCAAGATACAATACTACAGATGATAATAAAAATAACAAAAACATCTACAGCTACTAATTAGTTCTTTAAATACGCGTAATGCGTCAGAATGTTTGTTGCTGTTTTATTTGAGAGAATGTATAGAGTGATACAATCAAAATAACAGTACCATTTGCAGTCAATACAATGCCGACGTAGTATCGAATTTCCCACATAACGAAAAACTGAGATATGTAGGATTTATTTCGATTTAAAATGTCAGTGGGTGCATAAGGGTTTCAACAAAAACAGCTGATACAGAATGTCATATCCTCGACCAATATTGGTTAAAAACGTAGTCAAAGGACCGGTTGTCAAGGCCACGACCTTGGTACGTATCGTGCAAGTTCAGATCCAGTCACAGTAGTTCTGCCCGACAACAGGTTCCGTTCAAGTAGTTTTGCTTTTATTTACAGACTTGACTGTAAGAACCGGCTTGACAAACTCGAGGAAACTCTTTGTGTTTTCAAACTCAAATAAACCCTACCCAAAACGTAGCCTGAACTTTGTAAATTAACATAATTTAAATTCTGTTTGTATTGAAATATGGGGGTGAGAACGAATATTACCTACGGCACTAGCACCGACAGAACTATTGAATATTTTGACTCATCTAAACATAGATTTGTATTGAAGAGGAAATTTAGTAAAGATTTATTTTCCCATCCAAAAATCGGCGTTATGTAACGTCTAAACGATACTCACACTAAGCAGGATGTGTGTTTTGTTTTGAGCATTGTAGCTTATTACAGTACTGTTACGCAAAAACATTTTTATTTTAACGTTTAAAAGTAGGCATACCTATTATTTTCTGAACCCACATTTGATTAACACTCCTGGATAAGACTCTTAACAAGGCTGCCTAATATTGTATGATTTCTGGGATGACACAATGCATTCCCGATGTTTTTACCAGAAGTAAACAAACCCCTGAGGCTCGTGTCTCGTCACGTGTCAGGCCATCTGATAACATCTACTACCAGACAGAGAAAAACAACACATTCGGTCATTAGGTCATTAAACTGTGACGGCAAATATTACTACGGTATATAGCCACCAGCCACCGCAGCCTCTTGTATAACTTTCTAGCGAACAGTAGGTGTTTCCTACTGGTCCTGCTGTGACTGGGAGTGGTTTTCGGGATTTGAACCTACCTAACTACGAACTGCGAGATTACTACTGTTTGTTGCCAGACAACAGCTCTGTGACTGCGACTGACCACGAGACCAAGCAACACCAATATTAAAATATTCCTGCAGCATCTTGTCGTACAGTTATTAGTTGAGCCATTGACTGTGTGTAGAATTAGACATTCCATTCCCAAGCTACGAGTTTGCCCACTTTTACAATAAAAATGCAAAAATACAAATTTAAAAAAATTAAATGAATAAAAATAAATAAATAATAAACAAAAGGAAATGATTTTTTTTATTATTTACTTCAGTTTCCAAAAGTCGATAGACAATTAGACAATAACAATATGTTTAAAATCCAGGAGACACTTACCAGCACAACCTTATCTTTGAGGGATTTGCCTGCAGGAGGGACGATCTTCCTGAGGACGCTGTACAGTATTGCTGGGAGGATGCTCAGCATCAGTCCGAGGGTCTGTACCATCAACAGCAGAGGACTCCTGATGCCGGGTAGTCTGTCAGCTGGCGGCTGTAGCGGCTCGGGGCCACCGTCCTCCACCGTGGCAGGCAGCGAGTCCCCGTCCTCGTAGTGCGGGGCTCCGTCCTTCTGGGCCGTCATTTCTGTGGACAATAATATTTAACTCAACGATAATATTCAATTTCCATTTCACAGATGTAGCCAGTTAGAATTAAAACACTGACACAGTTCAATCGAGCCACCGACAGAGTATGCTGCCGTCATATACGCCGAATATTTAACCTAAACCTGGGTTATCAGACAACTCGCCGTCACCTATATCATCTAATGCCAAATAAGTGATCAAAGTATCAAACAAGTAAAGAAGGAATTGAATGTTTACAGAAGCACTCTAAGAAGTCTATGACGTCATGAGCGGTTCATTTTTATGTCCTCTTGAAGTATAAACCTTGCGATAATGTTTTCACTACTGTAAAATTACATGTTTTCGTTACATGTTTATCACCTGTGAAAATTAATCATTACATTTTTTTACTACGGAAAAAGAATGTTTGCAATGGTAAATTAATCTTTACTGTCTTTTTTCGATTTTGCCAACGTAAACAAACTCAACTGTTTCAATTTTAACAACCAAAACTGTACAACCAAAATAAATTTAAAAATTGAAGGCATAACCTATAAAATTCTATGGGTTTTGTAACAAAGAAATATCCAAATTCTGTTTTAATTAAGAAAATAATTAGTCTTTGTAGTGTAGCGAAAAGTAACGTTCAAAACACGAGTGAAAGTGGGTCTATACATATTCTCGACCATTTAAAATGCTCGATAAATCTCGTATTTCAAACATGGTCTGAAATGTGTAATGACTCACTTTCTACTCTTGTTATGAAGCATACTATTGAAGAAGATAGTATTTGCCATTAAATGCGAGTTAATTTTAATAAATGGTATGGAAATAAATTAAAACCCTTTACAAAAAAGTAAATAATATAATAATAATAATATAATAAATAATATAGTATAATAGATTTCTTATAATGGAATGTTATTTTGTCCTATATTGTAATACATTGTTGGGTAATATGAATATACATAAAGAGTGCATTCTATTTTACCAAGCCTCCAAGCGTGTTTGTTTTCCATCGTTCGCATTACATTTTAGTCATTCCTCGTCAGGTGGAGGATGTTTTGTAGACCACGACATGCCTTACTTGTACATTAGTTGACATTTGTTGACATCGCTGTGTTTACAGAATCATCCTGATATTGTATTTGAACATCGATGGTTATTCAGTATCTGAGTCGTCAGATAGTCTGTTTGATTAGTTTTATGTGAGTACTAAATAAGTAAATCCATTCGAACTATAATAATTATCTAAGTAAAATGAATTAATTTAATAACTGAATTAGAATAAGATGCATATACATTATATCATGCATAATGCCATTTTTCATACGATTTCATCATCACATACGAATGGATTGAACAAAAATGAATCTTATTTCCAGATAATATGTAATGCATTTTTTACAGTCTATGAGGTACAACATTATTACATTTTTTATTTGATTTGTGGTTATCAAAGTCGCGACGGTGTATGCTAGTGCTGATAATTTACAACAACCTGATAAGTGGAGACAACTTCAACATACGCTCGCTGCGCAGCTCATCGTTATTACGGACGAGAATAGTGATTTAAGGTGTAACACAACAACATGTTAATTTGTATTTCCGGTAATAAAATTTTCGTAACTCCTGGTTAAAAATAGGGAATCCTTTACGTGCATTATATGACGGCAAAAGTGCAATTTTATCACTAGATATTGATTAGCATCGATCCAACACGTGACCTTGTAAACAACATATCTTCTCAATGTATTTCCTCAAATTTACAAAAACAAAACAAATGCTAACTTGATATTAATCAATGTGATATGTTTCGATTTATACTAAGATTTATGTGCGTCCGTAAATATTTGAGGAGTCTGAATTCGTAATATAATATTATTAATTGTTTAGCATTGTTCACGCAAGAATTTTATTTTATTTTAAGTAAACGTTTGATTTAAACTGAATGTTCTAGGTAAAAATATGCTTATTAATGCACTAGTTTAACTGCAAACGTTTTTGTCATTAACTTGAAAAATGTCACAATGAAACTAATCCACTTATAGTTAGTTTTATCTATTATAACAATAGACTAAGATTGTACAGTATTTTCAAATGCTTTGTAAACAATTAAAAGTATTTTTAACACATTTTTTTAGACATCGTAAAACGAACACTCAAAAGCACATACAGTCATGTAACTAGTAGTATTCAAAAATCAAACAGAGTTAGTTTTTAATCATCAATAAAATCATGCATAACAGCATTGATTGAAAATTAAGAAAACTGGGTCATTGTTACGCCCTACCTCAGTGTGTGGTGGATCGTCGCAGACGTGCCACTAACAACAGACTGTTGTCTGTGTCTGTGTCTGTGTCTGTGCTCGCTGTGAAGACGTCGTCCCTCCCTACTAGTAGTTGTAGGCAGACGAGGGGACACGCTGGACCCTGGACCTGGACCTGGACCTGGACCTGGACCTGGACCTGGACCTGGACCTGGACCTGGACCTGGACCTGGACCTGGATATTCGGAATGTCGACTGGCCCACCAAGGTCAGAGGACAGAACTAAACCGGGAAACAAAACTCAGTTTACATAACTGTCTGTATATGACCATAGGTCCAACGTAATAACGTGGTGCAAAGACATATAACAATGCTACAAAACTCAGTTTTTTCAGTTGCCTCTTAAACTAAGTCTGAGAGATTACCTGGCAGGTTCGTGGTAAAACAAAATGTGTGATAAAATTGTATTAACCTCAATCATCCATTTATTTTCAATGGACAACTCAAATTGCAATAATGCATACATTTACTTCTTATGGTCGAATGGGTAATAGCTGGAAACAACAACTTGAGTAAACCACAGTAAAATGACCAAGTAAACATTACAAAAAAAAGAACAAGAACATAAATAAAGAACAATTAACCATTTAGAATTTAACTACTGTATGTGATGGTAACACGAATGAGCATGATAGGCAATGTGCAAAAGAAAGACATTTCAAAGTAACAAACAGGATAACACATGACTTATAATTTAATAGACAAGAGATATACATTAACTTGGACTTAATATTTACTTTTACGCTTAATATTTATAGTTACTAGCGGTCGTCCAGTGGTCGAAAACTCGACCAAAAACATGTAATGTACACGTATTGACTATTGGATACTGAAGTAGACATTCCATCTATATAGACCAGCTGTCGCCATTTTTTTATTTAAAAAAATGTAGTTGTATGAGCCAGTCACCAAATGAGTGTCTTAATTTCTCTTTTCTACCTTATTTATTGTTGCTGACAAAGTTGATGGGTCATAACAGTTGCTATACCTCACAGTAAGTCAATCCATAAAGTTGACTTGGTAAAAAAACCATAGTTTATTTGACAGAAATTAGTCATTTGGATCAGCGCAATCTGTTGGCGGCTCACATCAACTACTTAGAATTTAATTAAAAAACTGATGACAATGGGGATGGAATTTAAAGGTACAAGCATCAGGCTTCTCTATTTTCATCCCACACTGTAAATAAAACATGTGATTGTAATTTCTTCCATTTGTTTTGATTTTCTGTTTATATTTCGTTGTTATCTCGGCACCAGCATGACAACCCATAAAGCCCATGTTATTTTTTTTTAATTTCAAATCCACTTTTTGTGCTTGTATTTGAGCCTATTTTAATTTTTAAAGGGATTCTGCACTTCTAGGAACATAAATCTTTCTAACAGTATGCGTAGATTTTCCCTGCGATGCAAACAGGCTGAGAAAAAAGATTTTAAAGAAACATGCTTGCCTATTAAAATATAGATGACGGAATGACCGACATACCTGATAGTAGGAAAAAATCTGATTACAATTAGGTCCAATTAACCTATCCACGGAGTTTAAAAAATACCAAATTGAATTCAAGTAAAAAATTACGGAAAATGCCAACATGAAATTTTAAAATTATAGTCGTTTTCCAATAATTTATTGGTTTGCTCATCAGCCTCGTCACTGTACTTTGTAGGACAGTGAACTTGTTTCCCTTTTATCCAATTTTAAAAAGTTGGAAAATGTTGAAAATTTCACATCATACTACTGTATAAGAAAAGGGTGTGCGAAAAGGCCGTGTGCCTTTTTGCAAAGCTTTTGATTATCAAAGACACAACAACGTCTGTTGTTTACTGTTTCGTTAAGCATTAAAATGGATCTGTTTGAACACACAAATACTGCCAATTAAAGACGCTATTTCAGACATTCGTGGTGTTTAAAGTATTTTAAATATCCAGTCAGTATAGTAGACCTTAAGGGTCTTAGATGATGCCAGGGTATGTATGGATTTACAAGCACAATAACAAAATAAATCATTCAACTTGTCTCTAATTGTTGCAATTTACATCTGATCATATATTTAACTTTTGCACATTATTGCAGCACAGACTGTAGAAGCACCACCTTACTTACTTTGTCCTTTTCATTTCTCATTATTGTAAACCAATACATAAGTAAACTGCTAATTACTTGAGCTTGAGTCAACCAATACCTTGCATCGTGCACGAACGTCTAATGATTCAAAGTTGGCCACGATTGATGGTTCGCGCCTCAGTGAGTTTGTATCATCACCTCATCAACGTCAGCATCTCACAGCTGATCATCATTACGTGTGACAGTAAATACCTAACTTAGATAACTCGGGCAAATAGTATTGAGGGACGTTAAGGTTAAACTGTACAGGTGTTGATTGTTGTGGTTTAATAATTAGGTTAAAAGTTACGTTTAAATGCCTTGTAATAATTTTAATATCGGAAGTTTGTTTGTGGATGGATATAGTTTGTATTAGTTAATATTTTTTTAGATAGGCTACCACTACATACTTTACCATTGTATTTAATTGCGAAAGCCTACTTGATGTCTCTTCAATGACTTATAATGTGTGATGGTTAACTTACAATACCTCACGTTTAATCGTAAACATGGTTAAAAAATAAAACGATATTTTTATTATTTTATAATTAAATCAAATAAAGTGTAGCATTTTACAAGCATGATGAAGAGACCTTTTAAAGATATCTTGACCTGGATTCATTATTATTTACACTATTAAAATCCTAATTCAGGCGCATTAAATTCGTCGTCAATATCGTAAAAACAAAACTAGTGACATAAACAAATGCTTGTACAGACATCTCAGTTGTAATGCAGTTTATAAACTTATAACAATCTTTGTGTTTGTCACAATATTCTTACGTAATTTTACCAACTAAAATATTTTAATCTAATAGAAGGTGAAATTGGGGAACTTTAAAACATGGGACTGCTGTTTAAGTTAGAGTATCAATTTTTTGTCTGGATTTCTATCTCAATCGCTATTAAAATACTTAACAATAAGCCTAACTTACCTGATTACTAGCTGTGCGTAAAACTCGCTCTACTTGGGCACAGCCGAAGTTCACCGCTGTGGTATGAACACCAGGCACAAGATAACGATGGAGTAAGATAGTTGTTTACCCGGCGAGGATAACGACACTAGTTTAGTAGACAACTGACAAATTAGCGATTCACTTTCCATTCTTCCGTTATTGGTCTCCGTTGATGTTCAGAGTCGGAAAGTCCCCAAAGCACGTGGCTGAGCATTGGCTTTAGAAACGGCAAAATAAAGCAAAAGTCTATTAAGTACCTAACGCCTTTAACCCCCAAAACCCATAAATCTTAAGTAAGAATACGAGTAGACCACTCAAAAACATTGTTCCTCTTAATTCCTTAATCGAAAGCAAATCGTCTGAAAAGATTTAAGGAAATTAGATCCTATTGTTCCATTAAATCGGTAAATAACAAATTATTGTGATTTGGAACTAGCATTATGGAATTGGTGAAAAATAAGTCTAAATATAATGGATTGTCTTGTTTTGACAATTGTAGTTTGCAATTTAAGTACAAATAGCTGAGGATTAAATAAGTAGGTTTACCCAATGTTATCAGAATGTATCCTTTATGGATAACGATAACAGTTTACTAATACTCTATAAAAATAATATGGTAGTTTTAAATTTACAGTTTTATAGAATTTTCTTTGTAATCATTAGGATCACGCAATATATCAGCGCACAATCACGCTTCAATATACATTTTTTTAGTTAAAAAATGATTTGGAGTGAAATTGCAAAAGCTATTGTTTTGAGGGTCAAAAAAGGGGAAAACAAATTTTTATTCTATAATACAGTACCCCCATGGAACCTCGTCCCCGTAGTCCGATCAGCCTGGTGCGTTATTCCAGTCAGGGTTTTAAGGGGGAATAATTCCCTAAATGAGGAATCTTTGCATATGTGTAGTACTAGTACCCAGTTAAAACATATTAAAAAATAACATCCGTGCTATAACCACCATCTTGGAAAATGGTGGCCGAATTTCAATTTTACGATTTCGACCATATTTCACTAACCGTTGGAAAAACAGAAATTATGTTCGAACAAAAGTTAAAGAGCATACAAAAATATCAGTTAGAAGTGGTTGATTAAGTCGATACTAAGCCTTCTATCCCCATTTTGTTTATTTAAAATATTTACCTCTGAACCTGAGACGGAATCAATATTTAGTCCTGAGAATGTGCCAATATTATATTGCAGGACCTCGTTGTCTATTTTTTACTTACGCTTAAAAAATGGCTTGTACGAGATAAAAAATATGATCATCTATACTTATTTAATACGCAAGCAGATTTTTTGTGACAATTACTCCTCCGAAACTACTGAACCGATTGACATGTTTTTGGTGTCATTGGAAAGAGCGTAACGTGAAGTTGTGCAGGAAACTTTCTTTTTAGGGAAATAATGAGATATTGAGGCCCTGGAGCCCTTTAAAGTTTCGTATTTCTCCATAAGGATAACATGGGAGATAGTTTTTATTTACAGAAACATATGTTTTTTACTTGAAAATAGTCAAAGTCTACTACATAATAATTGCTGTGTATTATGACTCTTAATGTATACCTACTACATTTCAATCAAGGATTGTGTACCTTAAAGTTTACCCATAATGGATCTTACTACTTTATTTTAATGCTGGGAATAGTAAAATTTAGTGGAGAATAAGTTACCATGATTTAGAAAACTTTACTATAATAATTTATGTATTTAAATCACAAATCGTTGACATTATTAATTCATTTGAAACTAAACAGCTGATGGACAAATCAAACAAATCATCTACTTCATGTGAATAATGTTCCCTATTACACAAACATAGTTTTTTTTTTTTTTTTTTTTAACTATCTTGATTCTTTTTTACTTGTGGGTGTATTTTGAGTTTGCAGTTATGAAAGCACCAAGCCAAGTAACTTTTATCTAATTTTCTTTATAAACTAACAGTATTAATGAATTACTACATGAACTTGA